AGATATAGTCTTGTCGAATCAATCTAATAACAGATTGGGTATCCTTTCCCGATACAAAACTACGAATGACCGAGGACGGTCAAATTCTTTAGTTTGGGGGGGATGACACGCCTAAATTTTGGCTAGACGTCTATGCTGTGAATTGTGACATTTTCACGTATAGATTTGTATCAAGAGGACTGTAATTGAGACCCAGATTGACAGTCAAAGTCAATACTGAATCAGTCTAATAAGTTGAAGGGACCATATACCCATACTACCACAAGTTGGTTAGTTTACCCATCCCCGATACTACCTACGGATAGCAGTCTACCTGTTTGTCAAGCAGGATTATACCAGACTCGGACTACATCCGAAGGATGACCATTCACGTATGACATACCAAGGGTATTCTTATTGGACCTTACACTGGCAGGAGTTTGGAAGAACTTACTCAAGTGACCATGAACCGAGGATTGACTCGAAATGACTTTCTAGAACTCAGGAATTATCAAATACTCCTTCTAGAACAAGATCATGCATTAATCTAAAGGACTGCGATTTAGTCTAATAGACCAATCAAGTTGCATGGTTGAGGAAAATGACTAGAAGAATGATCGAAGTACTGCGAGGCTCCGAAGACATATCAAATGAATGTCAAAGAGTCCTGACGTAGAAAATATTGAAGAATGCAATTAAATGAATACTATGTGTAACTCCCTTGATTGAGTATAGGCACAATGGGTGTCTATTGAAAGAGAGAAGCAATTAGTTTAATCCAGATGGATCAGATTGATGGGATTAGAATCGAGGAGAGCTGATTTGCCTCCGGACGAGGTGACAAACGATCAAAGTAAGTGTTGAACCGCAATGACAGTTGAACACCATTCGAGTCATTCTCTAAAAACAATTAAATTAAATGAATATTGAAGTACCTACCTATGTTTGGAGGTATACTAGAATCTTGGAACCAATATGGACCAAATAAGGACATGTAGATTCAAATTAAATGGTATCTGACTGAGTGTAGAAGTTTCCTTGCGGTTCCGAACGTTTATTGTATTAAATTAATTGTACTATGCGACTCTATATTCTGTAGGTATAAATAGCGATCCGATGTATTTGGAATACAAGTGATTTTGGGACGACGTTGCAGTGCTAATCCGTAAAAAGGAAAGACACACTCCCGCCAGACTGAAACCTCTTCGCTAGCAGCCATTCGGGCCCGGCACTTGTGAGTATAGGAACGTCGTGTTCTGCTCCTTGTGACTGCGAGAAGTCTATCCAGTTGTTGGGTATTCTTCGAACTTAGGATCAGTCGTTGGTCTTAAGGGCAAATCACGCTGTGTGGTTGTGCCAGCACATAGTTCTAGCCCTCTGTAGGGGTCTGTGTGTTTCGGTTTTAATTTACTTTGATTCAAACCCCCAATTCTTGATATACCCAAATCAATACAAACCAAAGCACAAATTGTGCTGAATCTACCTTGATCAAAGGAATATATCGAATCCTTAGAACGATTCAAATTGATTGATCAAAGCTTCGTACTTAGCTCTCAAAGCTTTGCGGAACCTTTGCCAACGCTACCCCTTGCTATTAAATAAATTTGATAGCAGTGAACTCGCATATTGTGTATTAGATTGGTTGGTTGGAGTGCCCATTAGATTCCTTCCTTTCTCTTTCACACAAAAACGAGGCAAGCTCGTTATCCGCGGTGGGCTCCAGTAAAAAAAAAAAAAAGAATGGATAAATAAAACGAAAATTTATGAATTAAATTTATAACTCACGAAATGAGGAGGCATCAGCCTTGAGGTTCTCTAACTCCCGATTCCTTCTAATTAATCGTGGAGGAGCTACGAGCGTTTTGGAAACAGAGGTTGAAGCTTGGGTCTCCAAGGGTGGTGAGGAAGTAGTGTCCTTCAGTGCGACCGCCGATAATGCTTTGCCACGTAATGAGGCAAAAACATCCAAATCTTTAGACGAAACCATGCGCATCATTGCGCTTCCCTCACGAAAGCGTAAACAAAATGGAATGGGAATGGCAGGGAATCGTTCGAATTCGAGAACACCCTGTAAATTAAATTAAATGAGAATAAAAGTGAATTCGATAGCAAAGAACACTTACTGCAGCTGAGGAACAATGCTCAGGGGGAATGCCCCATTGCTGCATCAAATCGTCGCGAAGAAAAGCGGGTAGGCTGAGGGAAAGCGATTCAGCAGATAATAAAACCTGTTCCGCGAATAAAGGGCAATTTGCCCGACCCATCCAAAAGTCATGAATATAAATCTAGGAGAAACCATTAAAACCAGTAATAAGAAAACGAGTAAAGGTGGCTACATACCAAAAAGGGAGCAGCCTCCTCAAAAACATTGTAAATCTCCGACTCCGTTGGAGGTGAATCATCTACATCTACCAAATCCTGCAAAGTTCGGACCGTCATTTGTGCCGAACAAAACAAATCCAATCCAGAAGCCACGGACAATGGACGCGATGTGTCGGGAGGGAAACAGAAAGGGACGAGAGAACGGGGATAGGAAAAGGCAGGGAAGGTTCCAGAGCCATCGTAGTCCGGAGAATTTGTGGAATCAACGACCGGAGGAGAGTAGTCTCCCTCTAAAAGACGCTTGAAAACAGCACTCTCGAAGAAGAGAGGAAGTGTTGATTTAGATGGAATACCCGCGAGCATCACCTGAGCTTCCATTAGAGAGCATGGTAAACGCGTGGTTGTGGCCGAAGATCGAGTTTGACTCGAGGTCGAAGCCATTTTGACGAACGAGATGAAAGAAAGGAATAAAGAGGGAAAACGGACTTCAACGAAAAATTTCATTGAACCCCGTGCCCCGAACCAAATAAAGGTACACACTGAATCAGTGTGTACGTCAGAGCAGTTCTCCGTGAAATGGAAGCTTGTTCTGTGACTAGATGATAAAAGATTGTGAATTAAAAATTCGAAATGTGATAGGAATACCGAAAAAGTATTCAATTCAAATTGAGCGCTAAACTGTTACGATTCGTAGCAGGCGTGTGAATAAATTGATAAGATGAGCGCTAGAAACCCATTTGAGGGCATCCAAATTGATTGGAGAGCACGGAGAAGTAGAGATCCAAACCCAGTGAATTACATTAAAAGGAGATATAGTCTTGTCGAATCAATCTAATAACAGATTGGGTATCCTTTCCCGATACAAAACTACGAATGACCGAGGACGGTCAAATTCTTTAGTTTGGGGGGGATGACACGCCTAAATTTTGGCTAGACGTCTATGCTGTGAATTGTGACATTTTCACGTATAGATTTGTATCAAGAGGACTGTAATTGAGACCCAGATTGACAGTCAAAGTCAATACTGAATCAGTCTAATAAGTTGAAGGGACCATATACCCATACTACCACAAGTTGGTTAGTTTACCCATCCCCGATACTACCTACGGATAGCAGTCTACCTGTTTGTCAAGCAGGATTATACCAGACTCGGACTACATCCGAAGGATGACCATTCACGTATGACATACCAAGGGTATTCTTATTGGACCTTACACTGGCAGGAGTTTGGAAGAACTTACTCAAGTGACCATGAACCGAGGATTGACTCGAAATGACTTTCTAGAACTCAGGAATTATCAAATACTCCTTCTAGAACAAGATCATGCATTAATCTAAAGGACTGCGATTTAGTCTAATAGACCAATCAAGTTGCATGGTTGAGGAAAATGACTAGAAGAATGATCGAAGTACTGCGAGGCTCCGAAGACATATCAAATGAATGTCAAAGAGTCCTGACGTAGAAAATATTGAAGAATGCAATTAAATGAATACTATGTGTAACTCCCTTGATTGAGTATAGGCACAATGGGTGTCTATTGAAAGAGAGAAGCAATTAGTTTAATCCAGATGGATCAGATTGATGGGATTAGAATCGAGGAGAGCTGATTTGCCTCCGGACGAGGTGACAAACGATCAAAGTAAGTGTTGAACCGCAATGACAGTTGAACACCATTCGAGTCATTCTCTAAAAACAATTAAATTAAATGAATATTGAAGTACCTACCTATGTTTGGAGGTATACTAGAATCTTGGAACCAATATGGACCAAATAAGGACATGTAGATTCAAATTAAATGGTATCTGACTGAGTGTAGAAGTTTCCTTGCGGTTCCGAACGTTTATTGTATTAAATTAATTGTACTATGCGACTCTATATTCTGTAGGTATAAATAGCGATCCGATGTATTTGGAATACAAGTGATTTTGGGACGACGTTGCAGTGCTAATCCGTAAAAAGGAAAGACACACTCCCGCCAGACTGAAACCTCTTCGCTAGCAGCCATTCGGGCCCGGCACTTGTGAGTATAGGAACGTCGTGTTCTGCTCCTTGTGACTGCGAGAAGTCTATCCAGTTGTTGGGTATTCTTCGAACTTAGGATCAGTCGTTGGTCTTAAGGGCAAATCACGCTGTGTGGTTGTGCCAGCACATAGTTCTAGCCCTCTGTAGGGGTCTGTGTGTTTCGGTTTTAATTTACTTTGATTCAAACCCCCAATTCTTGATATACCCAAATCAATACAAACCAAAGCACAAATTGTGCTGAATCTACTTTGATCAAAGGAATATATCGAATCCTTAGAACGATTCAAATTGATTGATCAAAGCTTCGTACTTAGCTCTCAAAGCTTTGCGGAACCTTTGCCAACGCTACCCCTTGCTATTAAATAAATTTGATAGCAGTGAACTCGCATATTGTGTATTAGATTGGTTGGTTGGAGTGCCCATTAGATTCCTTCCTTTCTCTTTCACACAAAAACGAGGCAAGCTCGTTATCGAATTAGCACCGTTGATCTGAGTTCAAGTCAGGATATCTTCCTTAAATAAGCTATGAGTGCCTTAATCCATAATGGGAGTCGAACGGAATGTCGATCAGGTCTAATGGTGGAGCGAACAGTCCTTACACTCAAGATCAAAAATAACAAACAAAACGTCCGTACGGCGAAACTAAGGTTGTGACATTGAAGGAAATGTGATTACTCTACATATCTACATCAAATTCCTCCATGAGTTCATTATAATCAACATTGTTCAAGTGCATATCCTCCAAAATAGACAAGTCTGGAGCGTGTTCCAATCGATCGACCTGTCCGACATAGGTGTCTAAGGAAGGTCTGGATGAAGACGCGTTTGCCAGCCGCAGTCGTTTGGCTGGAACAGGGGTCTCTTTCGATGTATCACCATTTTCTCCGACGGCCAAAACTTTTCCGTCACTGGGCGGAATACGGGTAGAACCAATCGATCGTAGAACGGAAATAGCGCAATCATCAGCGGGGAGAATGTCACGTTCGGCATGAGGACTATGGGCAGAGGGAGGAACCGGGCTCTCAACCGGTAAATCAGATTCAGCGACAACTTTCAGGAAGTTGATAACAGCTTGATAAACCTGTTTTACATATGGCTTGGTCAAAATTGTACTGAGGGAACTATCAAATGAGTCGAGCTTACTTTTCGTTTCACTTGTCTTTTGTCTTTTGGTTGCAGCACATGAAGCCTAAAACTAACGTTCGCAACAACCACTGTCCCCGGCCTCAGTTGCAGGTAATTTTTCCAAGGAACTATCAAATCGCCGTCGATTTTTCGCCAATCGGGTTGCAGCAAGCGTGCTTTATTGAGTGCGAATACCTTCCCGCCATAATCTGGCATCAACTTGTAATCATATTGCGCGCCGACGGTGATGCTAGCATCTGTAACGAAGACACACTTAACACCGAACCTGTAGTAGTCGAAATCCACACACCAGGAGGGAAACCCAAACTCTTGTGAGGGTCGTCCGGTTCTTTCTCACCGTCAGAGGATTGGGTGAGTTTACGCTTCTTGAGTTTTGAGGCGATATTGTTAGTATCAATGCCTCCCTTAGTGCCTGACCTACGCTCTGCTTGTGGAGCCTAGACGAAGCAAATGAGTAATGAACTATTAAACATGCCAATGCTTACCGTGTATAAAAGCGGGCCAGTGAGTGTTATGGCATCAAGGGGATGTTCAGATACGACTTCTTTAACAATTTCCTTCACAACCGCGAGCTGCAGATCACATTAGGACCAGAGAGTGAATAGAATAGTTTATTTGCCTGATCCTCTGAACGCTCAAGATGACTGATCATCCGCAAGGTACATAGTTGATTGTGCCACAGATCCTTCAAACCTGGTGGAGCGAAGGAGGGACAGCCAAGAACTATACTACATCTTGTTCTCGTGAAATCGGTTATTAGGTTACGCTGGTACAATTGATATCAATGCCATAACAAACATGTAAATAGTGAAGCTTACCGATGACCTATCATTCCCAACGAAATGATTTCCTTGTGCACCAACCGCAGTGCCATGAATGTCGCCCAAGACTTCCCCAAATAAGTTTCCGGTAAACTCTTGTGATTCACCATCAACATAACAAAAATGCGTTGACCATTCATTGCCGTATTTTTCACGAAAGAAGTCGATGCCGTACTCTGCGTTCGCGATTGCAGTAGGCCCCATATCTTTGAATAATCGCGTTAGCTCATCATAGATTTGGCCCGGTCGTTGACGGAATTCGAAGCGAGAAGACGTGAATGAACCAGGTGTATACAATCGAGCTGACATGAAGGATTTACACTGGTAACTACAAACAGTGTAATTTATACTGAGTTGATAAGGTCATCGTCATTCATAATGATACTGTGAAACCGACGCTGTGTAAGAGTCAGACAATTTCCATTGTATTAGCCATAGGAATCCTGACCGATCGCATGTCTTAATATTGTCCAAGCATGATCATTGCACAATTTGGATCGTAAAGTCGTAATGTGGGCATTCCCGATGTAGAACATCTAGAAAAAAAGTTTAAGAATGTCTTGTTTAGGCCGCAAAATGTCCTAGACGTGATAGCACTCACTTTCGCCACATTCAATAGACAACTACGCGATAATTTTACGTTTCTTCATAGGAGGCGCAGTGACTGACGTGTGCTGCTCGGTGGATGCTTTGCGGCGGTTCGAGAACACGGAAGCAATAGGTACTGGTACTGGCGTGGATCCCTAGTTGTTAGAGTGACTGAGAGCCGGGAGTAAAAACACGAAGAAAAAACGTACCTCAGAAATGACCGAAACGCACTCAGGGCTCGAGAGCTGCTGCATTCCAGACAAGTTTCGTTGGATGGCTTCCAACTTACTCAGGGATTGGACATCTGAGTCGGCAACCGTTGGACCAGGCCCTTTATAAGTACGCAAACTCTTTTTTGCTTTAGCACGCTCTATGACGGAACCGACGGATACGATTGTGGTAAGTGATAAGTAATGTAGCCTTTGCTGTTCGACTCTATTGTCTTGAGATTGGCGGCATTGTATTTTCTTCAGCTGGAATGGTCGAAGTATAAGAAGACCATCGAGTGTCTTGACACGAGAGATCATAACATAAGGAGCCTCAGTCCCGTGACAAGACTCGATATCAACAATTGCGGAGTCCATTGTCTGACCTTGTGCCTTATGTGTAGTCATTGCGAACGCTGGTGCAATTGGCAACTGAGTACGTTGAAATGTGCATCGTTTCTTAGTATATTCATGCACGAAAGATAAACTGACTTTATCTTCTAACGCCACAACATCGTCCTTGCTGTCCATGTAAGGTAAGGGTTCTGTTGTATTCGTTGTGGACAGAGTAATAACACAGGATATAGCATGTCGATGCCCTTGTTCATCGACTTTATATCGAATACTTTTTAATATACCCTGGGACCCATTAACTATCCCTGCATGAACGTCGAAATTCTGTGTTATGATTACAGGCATTCCAATCACTAAAGGTATTCGGCCCAACCGCTGATTTGTTTTTCCAGAATCCAACGTCTCCAAATAATTCTGCAAAGTTGGCTCTACAATGGGTTTACCGCTTCGTGTATCAAAAGAGTGATACCAATATAAAGGTTTACCAGTACGTTTCGCAAAAGCTTCAGTAGCACGCTCATTAATCAAATCCTTAACTCGATTGCAAGAAACAATAGTCGGAGTACCTGCCCATTTAGGATCGTTCCAATCAGGTTGTACATTTCCCACCACTCTGGCGTTGAGGATTTCATAGTCGCTTTGTGTACAGTTACCAATTCTCAGACGTGACAATAAATCAACAAAAGGTTCGTTCTGAGTACCGGTTTGTCGCATAATCTGTGTCAATAACACAACGGTTTTCACAGTTAACCACAAAAGTTTCCCAAAAACTATCTCTTGACCATGGATCGTAGTAGCGCGGCGAGTATCGATGTACGAAAACAAACGCTGCTCCCGTACTGGACCTAATTGAGCAAAATCCCCTGCGAAAATGATATTAATTCCCCAAAAGGTGAGGTATTGTCTTTCGCTTGACTGAGAGCACGGCTGATCTTCAATAGGAATCTACAACCGAGCATAGACACTTCGTCGATAAATAGATAATCGACTCCCTGCCACATTGCAAGCAGATTTTTCCGAGATTTACTGTTAACTTTCGCAGATGCAGTCGTTGACAGCAAAAGAGCTGAGTGTAGAGTCATACCCGAAATGTTTTTTGCAGCTACACCAGTATAAGATGCTAACCTAAAGCGCCTGCTCTCTCCTTGAGCTTCAAAGAAAAGTTTCAATGCAGATATTACATGTGATTTTCCCGTTCCACCAGGACCTCCAAGGAACATTCGCAACGGATCCGATTTTCCCAGTTGAGTATGAGAAGCAATTAAACGAAATGCTCGTTCTTGTTCTTTATTGAGAGCCGGTGTGAATGTGGTAACAAAGTCATCAATATCTACTAAAGAACTTGGCTGGCAATCATTCATCGGTGGTCGAAGTGTGGCATTATCAAGCCTAAGGTCAGTCTCATCTAAATTGTGAATATGACTATCGTAATGACTGTCGTACCTATTAGAATCTGAATTAACATTTACCGGTTCTACCAGTAATTGTTGCTGCCAAGTTTGTTTTCGGGCTACGTATGCGTCTTTCCAGGTTTGCTCATGTTCAGGACAATCATCTTGTATCAGATGAAGATCAGTTGTGACGTCTTCACCAGGTTTGTGTGTCATGTTGGAGTTGAAATCAGTGTGCTGAGGACCAAAGAAACCACAACTTTCCATCTGTTGGACACAACTCAATGCTTCGTATCTTGACTGGTCAATACGCCTAGAGTTCGTACCTTCTATTGACAATAAATGTTCGAGAATTTCTGATTCATTATCATGTTCAGCGAGAAAATCATCTTCTACTACACGCTCTTGTTCCGAAGAACCAACGTAACCATGTGTAGTGCGTAGCCTGCGTGCACTAGCTCGATTAGCAAAGTGATCATCGCGACTGTCTCTGCACTCGTGTAAGATTTGCATATTATCCATCATTCTCTTCACCTCATCTGAACATCTTGCATTGAATGCAGCAAAAGCATCTGGCCACGATTCATGTTGCTCTCGAAGATCTACAGCATTTCGCCAAGGTTTGAAAAACATCAACATCAACCGACAATACCTTGGCCAATCGTTTTCGCGATCTCTTCTCGGTAGAGCGGGCCCTATGGGGACCGGAATTTTACGGTTTTTTGAAGAACCTAGCACGAAGGTGTGTGATAATTGTTCAGGGTGTCCATGTTCAAACTCGAATTTAGGATGTGATCTTGTGCGATGTTCCAACAGTTCAGGCAACGAAGGAACACTTTCTCTGTTGTCACTGGATATGTTTTCTTGTAACCCTATGACCACTTCTTCTTCGTTATCGTCGACAATCACTGAATCATCATCGTTATCAAAATCTTCTGATACGTCGTTATTCTTTGAACGCGGCTTGCGCGATTTCGTGCATCGTGCAATGTTTTCCCAAAGACTAAGATCCTCAACGGCAATAGGACGGTAACGATAATCATCAAGCTGTGATGCTTTTGCAACAAGGAAACCCTCATTACCAACTGAGATACCGACCTCATCATCATCATCGTATTGGTCCACAGGTTTGTGTGTGTCATCGAAGGTTGTTGAACCGGGAGCATCTGAAGCTAATTCGTCGTGGCAAGTATCATTGCCAGAAGCGTCTATAACATCCTTGTCACCAAAAGTATCTTCAACACACTGATAGGCTTTTCGAGCCAACTGACACTCAGGAGAAGGTATCTGACACTCAACCAAATGCTCGAACTGCGTCCAGTAAAAGTTTTTGTACTGATGAGATGTAAAATGATCATCAAGGTCTAACAAGTACGTATTAACTTGCTGCGCAGATAACTCCTGTTGACTTATCATTGAATACGCACATTTCTGTAGCAATCTTTTTGCGCGTATCGTAAACGGCGTATCAGTTGAACACTGCTCGTCTAATCGTCTCACTGCCCTTTCCAGAGCAGCATAAGCCACATGAGCTTTCAACTGCGATTTAGTGATATAATTGGTGATGTAGTATAGGACGGCTTTCGCAGATGCGCCCGAGCCAATAAACTTTATGTCCATGTTGCAGCGAATGGCGCGTAAAATCGTCTCATTAAAATTATTCACAAGACCATCAAGACATCGCAGAGTTAGTTCGCCAGTATTCTCATCAAATACTGTTTCTGCAGTTGTATTGGACTCATGTAATCCGAAACGACACTCTTTTGGTTGTGAGCCTTTACAATATTTGAAACATGTTGCGGTGTGTTTATGAATCTGACAAGTTTGTACAAGATTATGAAAATCTTTTCGTACAGCGTCTTCCGGGTTTGAGACCTGAGCATCATATCCCACCATGGTTGTTCCGCGAACAGAGCAAGGATGAAAATCATCTGAAGGTACGTGTATCCCTACCGAATCGTCTACGGGTAATTGATTGGTAATGGTATCATCTAGAAACGCTATCAAGCGGCGGCAAAAGTCAGAGTTAGGGTCTTCGATAGTGCGTCGACGGATTTCGTTCGGATTGAGCCCACCCTCCAGCCATATCATCATATGACAGTGCAATGTTCCTCGGCCCTGTGCTTCAATACAACCATAATAACCTTTCACAAGACCCAATATACCTCCTTTCATATCCTGATGGGTAGCGTCGTAACCAAGTAAGCTATGAATGAAAGCATTCAAATACACATTAAAAAACTTGGCCGCAATGACAGGATTTTTAGCAACGAGAATTGCTTGGTCCCAATACTCTGGTACATCCCGAGGCAACATGCAATCGATGTTGATATCAGACCCGGCCAAAAATTTGACCAGTGGATTGTAGACATCCGCGGGATTAATGGTGATATAAAAACTGGGTAAGCCTTGGTCGATCATCAAAGCTCTGATTTCATTTCTCATATTCACTAGAGAAGATGTAGAGCCAGGTACTGAAGATGTAACAAGGTTAACCTGTTGCATCAATTGAAGCACAGTGCGTTCTTCTGTGTTTCTGAATGAAACCATATCCCCTTTTGCAAATCGTTCGGAAACAGCTGCGATTGCACTGGGTGTGACTGATGCAAACTGACTTGCTAATACAGGGAAGTTAGATTTTTTAGCTTTGAGGGCCGTTCGTAGCAGCATGCTTCGACGCTGGAGAATATTGAAAGCGGTAAAAGAAAATGAATAATGCTCTTGAAAGCGATGATCAGTCAGGTTCAACAAGTATTTTACATGCCTCTTCAATGAAACAGGCTCTGATCTTGAGTAATCTTCGAAACCACCGATCCCGTAAGGAAAAAGTGTTGGGTATATCATTGGAAAAAGGGAAGGATTGAAGAACTCATTCATTGGCTCGGTGTCATGGGGTATCTCGATATATGATCCTCCTTTGAACTTGATGTGACGCATCGCAGCTGCGCGCAATTCATTCATAGTGGCATTTGCGTCTACGTCAGCAATGACAACACTCTCAAAAATGACTTCTTCGTCATGATTTTCAGATGTACCACGTTCGACTGTTGGGTACGAGGATGTCGAATGCGTAGGATCATATCCAGCAGTAAGACTGTCTGCAGATTTGCCGGATTCGACGCACTCAACATGAACAGGTAAAACAAATTGATCAGGTAAAGTTGCTAAAAAGTCGTAATCAATGATGATATCTTTATACCACTTGTTATGACTTTTCAGCCAAATTAAGGCATCACGAACAACCTTGGGACGCGCCGTCAATGGTTTAGCTTTATTCCTTAGCCACTCTTCTGAGGGTCGAGATGAACCCACAAATATGACACATATAGGTGCAGTTAATTCATCCAAAGATGGTGGCAATATCTTCGCCAACGCTGTAGGTTTTTGTGGATAGACAATAATATTTCCTTTCAAACCCCTCTGAGTTGTCTTATTCGCAATTTCGTCTGCCTCCTTTAATTGGATTATCCAGCTTTTAGCACGGCAACGAGATATCATAGCTTCCTCGACTACTGTAAGATTTTGAAGGACATCAGGGACGTTGCCTAAATACATATGGTTCGCAAGTGAAAGAGCAGGTGTTCTTTTATTCCGCAAAGCGGAATAGCAAACAGGGCAAAGACATAAGGTGACATTATTTTGCTCGTCAGTCTGAACCCCTTTGCAATCTAAAACAGCATCAGGGAAATCTTCCAATACTTTGTCAATGTTGGGTGCAACACAATCACTGTCTAACCAATTAGAGTCAACCACAGTAGACGGAAAACCTTTCTTCAACCGCATATCAGGCCTTTTCAATAGAGAAAGATCAACAGAATCAGAAGTCACAACATGGCATGCAGTTGCAAGCTCTTCAGATGAGCAAGAAGCACAAACTAATTTTCGCAAAGCATAACTAGAAGTGCAATCACGAAATCGGTCTAATAACTCATGTTTCAACTCTTGGGGAACCAACGAAGGCCATTGAGTCCGTAGGTTCTGTAACTTTTTTTCGTTTTCCACGCGTTCCAAGTCAACGCCAACAGTTTCATTATAGACCTGTAAACGGTGACGTAGAACGCGTTTGTTATCATTCTGATTGAAAGGGATTTCCAAAATCTGCAAAATATTTCGAAGAGTAAGTAGCGAGAGCTTAGTGCTGAGCAAGTGTATTAACGCTCTTTTGAAATCAGTAGCGGATTCGAACTCACTGACTTCATTCATAACGGGTGGACTAAATGTTGTTGCAATAGACTGGCATCCACCTGGACAGTTCGATTTGGATAAAACCGTCACGTTTGTATAGCATTCAGCAGAAAGTATGTGAGATGCTAATTGTACACGTAAATCTTCAGCTGTCGCAAGAATAACGTTGACATCGAGCTTATGCATCAAACAATATTGAAGAAGCACAGGGAATCGCAACTTATTGAAGTCCTGAAATACATCTAAAACAGAACATGGTAACACTGGATTAGCACATTTTTCAGCTTCAATATGAGCACCACGAATGCGGGAGAGGTATCTATGAAGTAGACCCAACATTTGACGGCGAGGCTGTTTAGGACGAATCAGCTCTCGAATGTTCAAAGCTTCTAATATGAGTTTGAGCTTATCGACGGACATCGAAACAGCCTTGGATTTCGCGAGAAGATCATCCATACTAGTCAGAAATTCCGTTACAGAAGACAATCCATTACTAAAAATACGACAAGCAGGAGCTGACGTAGACTGTGAATTATGAACACATTGTGCATTAAGGATATGGTAGATGACTGCTTCGCGCTGCCGACGCTGACCAACGAGCCCTTTCAGATCCAGTCCATGTAGGGAAGCATATCTTGACAGCGTGTTTGCATCAGATACAAACATGGAACATCGTACACCCGATTGAAAATTACCGAATAAGCACGCCGTTAGAACATCATTGGACGTTGGAAGTGCGGAAACGACTGGATGGTACTCGGAGGTTGAGGCCGTAGAAGTCACGGTATGTTTTTCACGGTTAATCAGATTATGAAGCTCATTGTGAGCAGAACACCCATTCGGGCTGACCAAATTATTGGTTATTATATCCTCGGAAGCGTGTGGACCACCCACATACAGTGCGCGTTGTGATGGTCCAGGCTCATTGACTGAAAAAAAAAATCGTAATCGAAAAGCATCAGTGATGTGAAAACAACGAGGGAAAGGAATCTCACTTGAAGGATTGGAAACAATCGGAGTCCCAGCTGGAGAGGAACCAATGTTGTTCATAACAAAACTGATTTGCGGGTTAGAAACAAGTCTCGAAGACGACGACGCAGAATTTTGCGCTGCGAATTGAGACGTGAACTGATGATTGATCGCGGGTAAATACTTGAAAACATGCAGCACGAGAATAGAGAACTCACAGTTGAAGGCGGAGTGAACATGTTTGTGTTGTCTTGGTTATTCGATGGCATATTGCGGGGAAATGTGCTCGACGACAGCGAAGAATCTAACGCTGTCAACCCGTATCGATGAAAATAACATAAAGCAAAAAGCTATTTTAACTCACAAGCTGACTGAATGGCGGGTACGCCTATAGAAAGTGTGAGCTGCGGCAAGAATTTTTGATGAAAGCGACCTACAAGGACGAGGATTGACAGCTACGAGAAAAGAATATTAATTAAGAAGGTTTGAGATGAACGTAACACATACCGTATTGACCAGTCAGGTGAGGTAAAATCGGAAGCGGGAGGCGAGCTTCCAGCGAGGACTGCACAAACGGCAAATTGTCAAATATCCGAACACAATCGGAGGATCGACACCGATGTTGGAAGTCTACACCAAATATTGCATCGAAACCTGCAACATCATTGACAACGATAAAGTCTATGGGCAACGTGTAACCGAAATTGTTGAGACCGAAGTTAACGGTGGCAGAGACGAAATCGTTGTGCCAATTGCCAAGATTTGCAGCACGAACGAAAGATCTGGAAACAACGGATTGATAGATAGTGATATCTTTACCTGCAATGCAGGGTTGGCCAGAGATTGTGAGCAACATGAAGGCCACAAAAGAAAGTGTTGAACGAAAAGTGACCCGACGGTAATTGTATAATCATGAAAGAACCTGAAGTGGTAATGAACGGACGATCGATCATCAATCCTAAAACGGTCATCAGCGGATGATCGTGCAAGGAATTGCTGTTCCTGAAATGAAGTGCTACAATACCCACTACCTAAAGGTAGCGGGAATGAACGAACCTGTAGTGCAAACATTATAGCTGGTCAATAGTTCGATTTGAACAAAGGTAACTGTTTTTCAATAGTGTCAATACATGTTTTGTCAACCCCAACGTATTCTGAAGCAGTCCAGCGAGCACATCTATTCTGTTCGTCTCTAACTGACATGAGCTGACATGCTTCGAGCCTTCGTCGATACATCACGACGGACCAGTTTAATCCTGCTCCGCGTCTCTGAAAGAGATGGGAAGAGCAGCTCGGTGAAGACAGACCAGACTCAAGGATAAGTACCGAGCTCAAAACTGGGCCCGGTTGGATAGATTCTGCCTTGGACCATCTGAATTCCGCCACTGGCCAGGATTGACGCCAATAACCACCTTAGCAACGCAAGAGCCCTTGTCTGCAGATCCCCAAGAAGATTGACCCCACCGTAAATCCGTGTTGCAAACCTGGGATTGTCGTATGTCTTCGTATGTAGTATATGCACTTTGCACTTGCCAGGAAATTTGTGCTTTTGCTACTGAGTTTCACCATCGGAAAACTTCGTCCCTCCTTCCTGAAATCTCATTTGGGCTCGCGATGTGACTAAGGTTCTACTATCCAGTGGGCAATCTCAACTTTGGTCGATGAAGGATCCGCATTTTGAGCTTCAGGTTGTGATTTCAAAGAACTCGGAGTAGGGGCTTCCGGGTTCAATTAACCCCATCTCTTTAAGAAGAGAAGATTGATCCAGACAGAGTCAAAAAGATGTTCTGCCAGTGAGAGACCCATAATGAGGAAGATAGGTCGTGGGTGGAATACGACGTACTATCTGGACAGAAAAATTTCGATCTTTGGCTAAGCTTCCGCAATTCCTCAAATGTTGGCACCAATGCTGTTCATGTGCATTGAATAATGGATGCGCAGAAACTGAGAGTGATAGCGAAAGATTCTCTGAAGACGCGCAACCGGGTAAAACAAAACTGAATAAGCATTGATCGTTCATTCAATATACAGCACAACAGAGCACATCGTGCACTAATGCAGCACAGCAAGCCCCGCACGTCGCCCTATCTAAATCCAGCCTACAGGCTCTGGACCCTGCGCTTGAAACTCCACGACGGACGCGATTTTTCCTACTGCTCTCCACTAAAGAGTAGAAGATAAGTTATGTGAAGGCAAAGCAAACTCAAAGACGAGCACCGACCTCTCTGATGTCCCTTTCTTGAGGATGAATGGAAAAATGATCTCATTCGCCGAATTATAGATTTTGCCTTGGACCCTAGAGTCGCCGCCCGGACGAACACCAATGACCACCGTGGCAGTACAAGTGCCTCCGCAGATCTCTAAACCTCCAAATGAAACTTGGACCGTAATTTGTCCAGAATTAGCTTTGGGGGCGTAGTATTCACATTCGCCCACAGGGAGTGTAGCCTCCAGTTTTCCCGTGACGCCCAGTGCTTCGCCCACTTTTTTGTCACCAAAAAACTTTCTGACTCCGTTCTGGATGTTTTGTTGGATTCCTGAACCTTGTGGGACTGGGAATTTCTTCCCTACTGGGAGATCCCACGCGAGAGCAACGTGAACCGGTAAAGCTTTCGCATCCTGAGCTTGTGAAGAACCGGGAGTAGCACCTTCCAGGTTCGATTCCATCTATTCAAGATGAGGTTAAGTAAAATTTAACTACCCTGACAGGCCACTTACAGGTCTAGGTGCTGCAAACGCGATGGAGGAAAGACCGAGGAAAAAGAGAGATATGATTGAGAGACGCATGGTGATGAGGATACTAGTCGTGGGTGCAATTGTTGGGGTGAGTAGGTCGAACAGTAGAGGTTTGATCTTTGGCCAGCAAAGATTTTAGCGAAGAGGGTCTCAACCTGTCTTAACCGGTAAGTGAGAGAAATCAACGATGAGCTTGATCCCGCTTATAGGGCACGTCTTTCGGAATTTCCCGAACATCGACGGTGGCAAGTAATAGTAAGTAATACGCGCAAAAGCTGCCATACGATGTGAATCAGATCTTGCCCTGGATGCGCTCTGATATGATCAGCTATAATCGCCCTTTTATTGAGGCCAGATGCGAGTTTCTAAGTAACATGTTATCAGATGTTATCTCACCTTGCTATCCTTGCTCACTTTTCCAACATCCATAACTTCAAGCGCTTCCTAGGTAACTGTTTGTCAATAGTGTCAGTACATATTTCTTCAACCACAACGTATTTTGAAGCAGTGCAGCGAGCACATCTATTCTGTTCGCCTCTTACTGACAAGCTTCGAGCCTTCGTCAATACATCACGACGGACCAGTTTGATCCTGCTCCGCGTCACTGAAAGAGATGGGAAGAGCAGTTTAGTAAAGACAGACTAGACTCAATGATAAGTACCCACTACAAAAACTGGGTGGACAAATTCTGCCTTGGACCACTAGGGTTGTCACCAATATGTAACCACCTCAGCAATACAAGAGCCTTGTCCGCAGATCCCCTCTAAAACCTCCAAAAGAACATTGGACCATCCTGCCACCGTAAATCCGTTTTCCAAACCTGGAATTGTCGTCGTAGTAGCCCTTGTCAGGAAATCTGTGCTTTTGCTACTGAGCTTCTACTCCCCGGCGGGCAAATCTCAACTTTGGTCGATTGAGCATCCGCATTTTGAGCTTCAGATTGTGAGCGAGTTTCGAAAGAACTGGAAGTAGGACCTTCCAGCGAAAGATACTTGAAAACGCGGAACCGGGGAAAACAAAATCGAGTAAGCGTTGATTATTCATTCGATATACACCACAACGTGCACTAATGCAGCACAGCAAGCCCCGCACGTCGCTCTATCCAATCCAGCCGACAGGCTTCGAACCCTGCGCTTGAAATTCCACGACGGACCAAATTTTTCCTACTCCTCTCCACTAAAGAGTATAAGTTAAGTGAAGGCAAAGCAAACTCAAAAACGAGCACCGACCTCTCTGATGCCTTTTTCTCAGGGGTGACTGGAAAAATGAGTTTCGTCGCCGAATTATAGATTCTGCCTTGGACCTTCAGAACGCCGCCCGAACCAACACCAATGACCACCTTGGCAGTACAAGCGCCTCCGCAGATCTCTAAACCTCTAAACGAAACTTGGACCGTCTGGCTCTTAAGAACCATTGATCCAAAATTAGCTTTGGGGGCGTAGTATTCACATCTGTTCACAGGGAATGTTGGCACCAATTTTTCCGTGACGCCCAGTGCTTTTCCTACTTTTTCGTCATTAAAAAATGTTGTGACTCCCTTCTGGATGTTTTGTTGGGTTCGTTGATCTCGTGGGACTCGGGTTGTCCTCCCTTCTGGGCGAACCCAGGTGATGTCAAGTTTAGTTGATGAAACTTCCGCATTCTGAGCTTGCGAGATCGTTTCAGAAGAACTGGGAGTAACACCTTCCGAGTTCGATTCCATCTGTTCAAGAAGAGGTCAGTTGATGTTTATCGAAAAGAAAATACCAATACTTGACAAACTACTCACAGGTCGAGGTGCCGCAAATGCGATGGAAGCAAGACCGAGGAAAAAGAGAGATATGGTTGAGAAACGCATAATGATGATGATGAAGATAGTCGCGGGTTTTGTCGTTGGTGCAAATGGTGGGGCTAAGTGATGTAGGTCGGACAGTAGAGCTTTGATCTTTGACCAGCAAAGATTTTAGCGAGGAGGGTCTTAACCGGTAAGTGAAAGAAATGAACGATGAGCTTGATCCCACTTATAGGGCACGTCTTCCGGAATATGCTTGCACCGACGGTGGCAAGTGATGCGCGCGAAAGCTGTCATACGATGTGAATCAGATCTTGTCCTGCGCTCTGATATGATCAGCGTATGATTGCCCTTTTGTTGAGACAAGATGCGAGTTTCTATCTGTTTCTAAGTACATAACATGTTATCTCACCCTGCTATCTTTTTATCTTTGTGCGTTCCGACGCATCTCCTACAAGGCAGTCAGGTGATCCTGTTTCGGTGTAACCTCTTCGGAGTCTTCCCTAAGCTTTTCCACTTGCTTACATGATTGTTCCTTGTTTCAAAAGGTCCCCTCTGCTCTGTAATTGTCATACCTTTATAAACTGATGCTGTTTCTATCCTACATCTTACACAAACTTCCCTAGTGCCACAAGTCTCATCCTTCTATAATCTTTGCTCAATGTCTACGTCCCAAATTGGGTATATATGTTGATGTGTATTTAATGGTTCACAGTGTTTACGTGTTTGTTGCAAGAAAAAGCACTTAGCGCTGAAAGAAACTTGGAATGACTGGGCCAAAGAACAGTTTAAGAAAGCATTTGCATTGACCATAAGCACACACGGATGGAAGAGAACTTGAAGCGAGATTCCTCTATAGCACAGCAACTGCACGCCATAAGACTGCATAAAGCCGAAAGATAGTAGAAAGGTATTCGGAAGGAAGGCATGTATCGCACAGCACCAGGGGATCGAAAACGCATCTTATCACCAGTAAATATCAACCCAATCCTCTCTCCCTATCATCGATCAACCTATCCCGAACCTTCGCCAAAATCTTCCCCAACTCATTGACACCTCGCCCTTCTCCACCACCATCACCCCAAAAAGTATCATGTTCGTCCCGATACACAATTTCCCTCCCTTTTTGCCCATCAATCCCTTCAATCAACAGGTTCCTCAACTCCGCGTGTTGGCGGAACTTGAGCTCGAGCACCATCTCCATCTCATCGAGGAAGATTGCTCCCCAATCTGGACGGACGTAGGCCGTGTTGGCTGCGGACAGGGGGTAGACGTCGTTCAGGTTGACGCATAGGCGGATTTGGTTGGCGATGGTTGGGTGGGCAGGGAGATATTTGAGGGCTTCGTGTAGATGGGTGGCGGTTGGGTAGATGTTGTTGTTGTGTAATACTCGGTGGGGGGAATGGGGGAAGAAACCTTGATAGGTTGGCGAGTATTGGGTGAAAATGAGTGGTGGGTGATATACATGCCGTACAGGTGATTCGGGAGGGAAATTAGGTTGCTGTTGTTGTTGTTGTGGGCCTGCGGAAGGTGCACGAGGAGGAGCGGTCATTACCGGGAAGGGGGCATTGATCTGTGATGGACCAGCAGCAGGGGCAGCACTTGGTCCAGGCATTACCAAGAACGGCGGATTACCTCCTGGTTGCTCTTCAAGTACTGGGGGAGGAGGAATTACACCATCCGTAGCTGTCGCATTTACTTCTGCGCCAGGAAGCGTTGTAGGCAGGTACCTATCCTCTGATGGAGGAACATGTCTGAAGGCACCCTGCGTAGACGGTGTCTCACCATTGACTCGTTCAACAGGCACAGGAAACGGGACTAGCCTAACGTCACCCAGACGTACACGGTCTCTGGCGACGTCCTGAGGCTGTATTTCAGACAAAGTTTGCTTCCTGCCACGAGTTCCAGTCAGTGTCCTAAACAAACCGCCACCTTTGGAGTTTTTACGTCCGAAAAGTCCAGTTCTTGTCCGCTGAGGGTTTAAATCAGAAGGGACACTCTGCCCGGGTTGTTGTACTTGATTCCGTTGGTATCCGTACAATGCAGTGAAGAGATCGGTGCCGCGAGGAATGTTTAGTACGGCTTTATATGCCTCTGAATCGAATAGGTCACGAGGAGGTTCAGGGAGCGGGTTACCGGAAGGAGACCATAATGGACGGTCAAAAGCAGATGGACGGGTAGGGTCTACGGGAGGCGGAGGAGGAGGTATATTTTGAGGATGAAGAGGTTCAGAGTGTCGCCGTCGATGCTGTGAAACGGATGGTGGATGTGCGGAGCCTGCAACAGAAGGTACTACAACTGGCGGAGCGGATTCGTCTTCTTCTTCTTCTTCATCGTCGTCATCTGGAGGTGGAACTGTAGGGTGATATGGAGTTTGTGCACGACCTCTTGGAGGAACAGGAATTTGCGGTTCTGCAGGAAAATTGGCGAGTCTGTCACCACCGTTTGCCATCGGGGTAAACAGGTTGTCGGGCTGAGTGGCTGCGCGTGATTCGGCGACAGTAGGAACAGGCATAGACATAACGGGTCTATCAGTAGCTGACGCCGCTTGAGGTACATAAGCTGGAATTACTTATATTAGTCTTGGGAAGAGAGAGGAAAATGAAGGAACGCGCACGTCGAGTGGTTTCGCTCGCAGTAGGTCTTCTTCGCCTTGTTTTTCTTCTTTTGGTTGGGGGTTGAGGTACATAAGGATATGGTACAACGAGGTGTTGATTGGGCGCATGATATGAGGGATATGCAGGATATGCAGGAGGATAATAAGCACCCGGATGAAAACTACCAGGAGGAGGCAGTGGATAAGGTTGCCCTTGACGCTTGGAGCGTGAATTCGTTTGTCCCATTATACACTGGCTTCAAATCTTGAAAAATATCTTAGTCCTCTTCAACAATAAATTATGAACATTGCTCACCTGGAACTATGGCTTCAACGAGGTAGAAAAACCAATCTTGGAATTGGAAAGTAGGCCAGTTGTCCGCTATTTGGAGTGAATCTGAATCCTTCTGAACACGAGTCCAAGAACGTGTTGCCCACCAAACGATTGGCGGACTCTACTGTATTCTTCTCGTTAGCATTTCAACCTTCGCGCATGACATAGTCGTACATTTCACTTCCAAATCGCTTGTTACGATTGGCTCAGCTGCGGGCTTTTTGGTTCATTCAAATATCTTGTCCTGGTGATTCCTCAATGGGGAAGGTAGAAGCCGAAGATGTTTGTCGGTAACGAGGCTGCGCTGTGGACTATCCACGAAGGTCAATATCGAAACAGTCTTTAAATTTACTGATACATAACCAACATCTCATTGTTAAGCGCTTAATCTTTCGGTCCGATACCGTTCAAGCCAAGATTTCACCAAATCACTCAAATATACTGCTACAACAGTACTACTCTTATTCAGGTGTACACGCTATGAAAATTGCGAGTAAATACAGGAGAACGGCCCGAGCTTCAAGCTTCTACCCAACGACGTGTAACATTATAATAATCTGGTATCTTCCAACTTTCACTCTCAGGTATGTGTTTCTCCTGTGCCATATCCTTGGAAAGCGCTAAAACTTGTAATTGAACAACATCTTTTCGAAGCACATACAGAACACACGGACCTTTGCTTTCGGCAGGGTAAATGAGCTTTCCATTGGCATCCTCGATTCTCCCTTTACCGTCTATGAGATTCAGATCTCCACGACATTTACCATGTGTCTTATCCTCGAACTCGAAGCTGACGATCTTGTAATGATCTCCCAACACTTGTATCGTTGGGCAAAGTTGACCTAGTTTCGGGTTGGGCAGGATTTTCTTCGCTTCCGTTGTGGTGAGAAACTGCGTCGTATGTTGTTTGATCATGTTCTGCTCCTGGTTTGACGCCGGTCTACCTCCATTGTTAACATAGGTAATCAGAATCTCCTTCGATTCAGCTGTTTCCTTGTTGGCTGCGTTCGCAGTGAAGGGCCAAAACCGCTTCCCCAAGTTCGCATTCTCCTGACCATGGATGGGGGAAGCGCCCCGGCCTACATCACGACCCTAAACGAGAAGGAGAAAATATTTCAGTCACCCGGGGTGATATGTGCAATCAGTGCCGCTTCTACGAGGCTCAACTCACCACAGGTCGAGTCGCTGGCCCATCAGGATTTCCAGGAGCCGTAGAACCAGAGTGCCTGAAGTATATTCAAGTCAACGCCAACAAAAGTCGAAGCACAGAATGAATACCAACCTAGAAGAACTCTGCGAGCTTTGTTTCCTGGGTGGATGAACCTCATTGCCGTTTGCTTTCCGAATCTTCCCATTACGGGTTTTGATATCAAGAAAACCAGTACAGTAACCGCCACATATCTTCTTATCCTCGAAAGTAAACGTGACAACCTGCGCAGGCTTCCCACCGGGAGGAACCTCCGTTTTCAGTTCGTCGAACCGTGAGCATGCACTAGGGAAATTGGGCTTTACGTTGGGCACGACTACTTTGAGAAACGCAGTCACAGCTGACTGGACTAGAGGCTGCTGCTCGGACTTCAGTGATATACCTCTGCCTTTGGGGCGAAAGAGTATCTTAGTTCCATCCTCCGTTTCAGCCTTATCGGCGGTAGTAGAAGATGGGTTCGGACTCTTCTTTTCTCGAGTATAAATCGGGGATGCACCTCGTCCGAGGAGAGCAGGATTCTGATCGGGGGCTACTCCATGAGCAAAAGCCACACTGCGAGCTTGGGCATTCGGTTGGCCAACGTTCACCTGGCAGCAACAAGCACAATCAAATCATTGCTCAACCGATTCATATCCTGTCATACGAAGATTTTTTTCCAAGAATATAATAGTCACTTACAGGTCGAGGTGCCGCCCATGCAATGGAAGCTAGTTCAAATAAGAGAAAGGTGGTTGAGATACGCATGATGAGGATTTGTCGTCGTCAGTGGGTCGTTTCAGCGGTCGCGATTCGATAGTAGTCGGTGGCAGATATAGATGCAGTAGGCAGCAGTCGGAGGGCTTGGGTCTTTGCCAGCAAAGATTTAGCCAAGGTACACTTGAGAGGGGACTCAACCAGTAAGCTGAGGAATTTGAGCTTGACGACCCATTTTATATCGCATACACCGTCGGTAGATTCAGGTGATCATTAACACCGACGGAAGGACACTCCGAGCGCGCTCAAGTTTAAGTCTGAGTTCATGTAGCAAAGCACAGCAATGATTTGTAGCTTGAACATTGTGAACGCATGAATTTCCGACAGAAGACCAGATTTACATAGAGAAAAGCAATGTTGATCCAACTACTGACGAACTATTTGTGCAGGTACAACACAGTCATCGCTGAAGTAACACTCCCGATTTACTCGTATTTCGAATGGGATTATCCTTGATAGAGTCCGGCTTTGGGCCAGGGAATGCTTGGAAAGAGAGAAGGTGACCCAAGTCAGCACAGAGTTCCTGCCTAATGGCCATTTGAGACACCGACCTCTTGTTCGCCATCTTTGCTTTCCGTAACATCGCTTCCGACGCCGCTCGTGAATATATCAATTTACCTGCTTCGTTAAAGACTTTGCCACCATTGGTCGAAAGGTTCAGGGATCCTCTGCAAAGAGATAATTCTCTTTTTCCACATTTCGGGTGCGCGAATTGGAAGTTTATGATCTGATGGGTTTGGCCTCCGGCACCGACATTTTGCACTGCGTAACGTTCTGGCAAGTCCATTGGAATGTGGATGGCGGGGAGCTCTGGCGGCCTGGGATTTGGACTAAGGAATAGATCCAATTGGTATTGAGCAATGCCCCGTTCGTAATCGCTCAATGCTCTTCCTCCTCCTGTACAGGACACAACAGCTGCCAATCCATCGCCTTTGTCTTTGTCCGCGGCTAAATCTTTCTGTGAATTATGTTTCTTCTTTCCCTTGTCCTTCTTCTTTCCCTTCTTCTTTTTCTTCTTCTCAGCGGTAACCTGGTCGGACGATGAAGGATTGGGACCGGCGGCAGCACGAGCAGCGAGGGCTTCTGTTTCGTGAAGCTTCAATGCCTCCGTATGTCCTATTTCACGAGTTTCGGCGTTCATCTAGCCGAAAAGGAGAATTAGCACTTGGGCTATATCGTGCCGCTCCATGAAAGGAGGCAATCGACGAATATCTGAATGATGGTTACTCACAGGTCGAGGTGCCGCACATACGACAGTGGCTAGTCCGAAGATAATGAAGGTCAATGAGAGACGCATAATGAATACGGTCGTGAAATTTTCGTGCAAGTGTTCGTTGAAGGTGGCAACGAAAGAGAGTTGGCAGTAAGCGGTACTTGTAGAAGGGACTAATCTTTGCCAGCAAAGAATAGCGAGTGCGAAAACCAGATTCAACCAGTAAGCTCAGGGGATCAGCAATTTATACTCAAAATAATGAAAAAAAACAGACCACAATGCATCAATGATGGAAAAGTGCGGCTAAATGCGCCAATTTTCAAGGAATATCAGTATGTAGGCTGTGCCCTGCTGTGCCAGCTCTCATCTGGAAGCAATGACATCCAAACCTACCTCTTGCCTTCGTATAAGCTAAGGGACCCAATTTATAGGAAAGCAAACAAGAAACAGGCGACTACATCAATGATGGAAGGAAGGAAGAAAGGTATATTAAACGGCATGGTCCAAGATCTGAACACCGCACAGTCCCCGGGACGTGAGGGGCAGGACTTCGACGAGCTCGCACCTGGCTCAGGAGCCGTTGCTGAACTGGCTGGAAATGAGGCTATTTTGCTAATTTCCTATTGGAGAACGCTGGGCTGTGCCAGCTCTTGGTGCAAGTACTGTGCGGTATTTATCTAGAAGCAATTGTGATCCTGCCTCTCCTTCATATAATGATAGTGGTAATTGGTGACATTTGGTGTGGCCAGGTGTCGCAACTGTTAAAGGTTATGTGTGGGGGTGTACACTGCTGTTAGTCCTCATGAAGTGAAGGGAAACATTTAAAAAAATTACGAGTCCGAAATGTAATGAGGAATCGTCCTATAGTGGGCTTGAGCGTGGGAACCTTCCTTTTATATTTTTCACATCACGACTTCTGTTACTACGTTACTTTACTAGTGTACCCCTGCGGGGCCCTACACCTTGCTTGTTCAAGTGCTCCGATTAAAAATAATAACTCTTTTCAAATATTGGTGGAATAAAACAAGAATGATGCAGTTAGCAGCAATGAACCACAATCAGGCATATCTGTGCTTATTTACATTTAGAATCTGTTATAAAGTTCCAGAGCTGTTGAAGCTCGCTATCGTACAACATCTTTAGGTCTGTTGAATACCCTAATCGGATAAAGTGCAAAATAAGGTAGCAAAGGGAACACTCGTTCAGCAGTTGAAGCTCTTGGTAGTACAACACGGTTAGGTCTGTTGAAGGATGTAAGCGGATGAAGGGAGAAGTAATGTTGTGTGAGATATGTAAGATTGGGATAAAAAGCAAAAGAAGGTAGTAAACTGGAAACACATTCAGCTGTTGAAGCTCATGATTGTACAACACGGTTGGGTCAGTTGAAGGCCCTAAACGGATGAAGGGTCAAGTAACATAGCGAGAGTATCCGTAACTCAATACCAAGACAGCTGCAAATGTGTTTGAAAACGCTGCGGACTGTTCGACTAGATTTACAGTCGCTGGGTAAGCCAGGTGTGCAAACATTACTTTATGAAACTTTGAAATGCTCTCCTTGGGTAAGTTGATTATTTTACTCTAGCGAAGTTGTTGGATCAAATGCAACGGGCTGCAACGGGGGTCCAGCAATTATCCATCTGCGTTGGACGTAGACCCTTGTGGAGGGACAAGAGGCCATTGCAACGGCTATTGGACAATGACGGTTTTCTGTTTCAGGACTTGCGAGAGTTGACCATCGATGACAGGAGTAACATTGCGAACATAACACAATTCATTCAACGCCACGTCGCCATCACCGGACTGTCACGAAGCGGCAGAGGCGGAGTGACTAACGGAGCGGGAAAGCGGAGCGACTAAGCAGAACGGTGAGGCGGAGCAACTGGACAAGGCAACAAGGCGGAGCGACTAAGCAGAACGGCGGCAGGCTGGTCCCAGATAATGACAGAGATATATTGAGTATCGTAGTCATAGGTAATAATAAGTAAGCACATACCTGGTCCCAGATAATGACAGAGAGGTCAAGATAAGGGACCAGGCTGTGGAGGGTTGGCTATATATACATAATCCGGTCTGCGAGAAACAACAATGTAATACTGTACAGTTTAGGAACAAGGAAGGTGGCGGAAGCCAATAGAAGGAGAAGATGGGTCAGGTGGATCAGTAATCGATGGATCAGTAATCGATGGGGGTTTGACAGTGATGGGATGATGTATCGTACAAGTAAAGGCGTCGAGACGGTGAGAAAAGGAAAATGATAGGGGCTGCGTACTTTATGACATTACCCCCCTCCTTATGACCATTGCCCTCGATGGTCAAGGCTTTGCCGCTGTTGGGTGTTTTTTATGAAAGGCCCGAACAATTTTTGGTGCTCGACTGAGGTTGGCTGCGGGTTCCCAAGAGTTGTGCCCTGCGTCGTAACCTTTCCACTTAACCAAATATTCCAACTTCTTCCATCGAACCCGGCTGTCTAAGATCTCCTCTACTTCGTATTCCGGTTCGTCTTCATCCTCTAAGTATACCGGCTCTGGTGGTGTTGGTATTTCGCCATTAATGGAGTTACCTTTCCAGGGGTATAGTTTATCGACATGGAAGACGGGATGGAGGCGATCTAGGGATAGGGGGAGGTCGAGGCGGTAGTCTAAAGGGCCAATTTTCTCCAGAATGCGATAAGGGCCAAGCTGTCGATCTCCTAACTTTTCACTGGAAAGTTGAAGGTTAATGTCCTCCGCACTGAGCCAGACTAGGTCTCCAACTTTAAATTGATGAGCTTTCCGCTTCCCGCGTTCGTATCCCTCCTTCTGTTGTTTCTTTCCTAGGTGTAAGGCAGCTCCGGCATCTTGTCGCGCTTCTCGGAGAATCCGTATACGGTCATCCACAGCTGGAATACCGCTGCGTTGGCCCACTGGGATATTGAACAGGGGAAGATAGCCGTAGGTTAGCTCGAACGGGGACATGCCTAGCGCAGAATGAGTCCGAGAGTTAATCACAAACTCCGCCATGGGAAGGTGCTCTGCCCAGTCATCTTGTCGTCGTCCTACATAGAGGCGGATGTATTTCTCTACTTCCTGGTTCGCTCGTTCGGTTTGGCCATTAGACTGAGGATGGTATCCGGAGGTTAGATCTGATTTAATTCCTAGCCTAGCGAGAAGGGATCGCATGAGTTTAGCTGCAAACTGGGGTCCGCGGTCGGATTTAAAGTGAAGAGGAAGACCATGGAGACGGAAGATCTCTCGGTAGTAAATATCGGCAACGCCTTCGGCTGTGATGGAGCTGGTGCAAGGAATGGCGTGAATTTGTTTTCCATACAGGTCTGTGCAAACCAAGACAGCATCGTAGCCTTGGGAGTTAGGTAGCTGTGTTATCAGGTCAACCCCTACCTCTTCCCATAGACCGGATGGTACATCTAATGGTTGAGTTACGGCCCGTGGGTGTCGCTGGATCTTCTTACGGGCACAAACCTCGCATCCCTCAACATATTTTTCCACAAAAGAGCGCAACGTAGGCCACCAGAAATGGGTACTGACCAAGTCGAGTGTCCCATGTAGTCCGGGGTGTCCTGCAGTTGGATTGTCGTGGCATTGACGGAGTACCTCAGTGCGTAGGTCGTCGTTTGCTGGTACATATACTCGACCTCGGTAGTAGACCAACCCATTGTCTTCTTCCCATTCGGCTATCCCATTGGCCAAGCGCTGTAGTCCGTGCTCTTTGACTGTTTTGAGACCCTCCAATACCTGTGCCTCCCGTTCTGAGGCTTTCCGGATACGATCCTCTAAGGGGTTCTGTAGGATCGAAGCTGCAATTTTTACGAAGTGGCCAGGTTTAAGGACTGTCTGTTGTCGGTTGTCATCGCTGTCCGATACATGATGAACTGCCATGCGGGAGAGAGCATCAGCTTGGGTGTTTACTCTGCCAGGGCGGTGGATCATATGAAAGTCAAACCGTGACAGATAGAGGGCCCATCGGGCTTGTCGGCGGGTGAGGTCTTGTGCAGTGCGCCAGAATTCGAGGTTCGAATGGTCCGTAATGATGTCGAATGGTTGAGGGAGTCCTTCTAGAAAGTTCCTCCAATCCTTCAGTGCTTCAATGATAGCAAGCATTTCTCGATCGTAGATTTCGTAGTTCCGTTCCGCTGGCTGCATGGATGCCGATCTGAAGGCTACCGGATGCCATTGGCCATCGTCTTGCTTCTGCATAAGGGCGCCTCCCGTGGCAAAGCCTGATGCGTCTACCTCGATTCGAGTAGGCCTGTCTGGTGTCCATAGAGCAAGGATCGGTGCGGAGATGAAGGCTTCTCGAAGGGTATCAAATGCTTTCTGTCGAGTGTCGGTCCAGGTAAAGCTGATGTCTTTCTTCGTCAGGTCATTCAGAGGTCGTGCTATTTTGGCAAAATTCCGGATAAAGCGTCGGTAGAAGTTTGCAAATCCCAAGAACCCTCGTAGTTCCCGAAGATTAGTAGGGACTGGCCAGTCGCGAACAGCCACTACTTTTACCGGATCCATTCTCACCTCCCCTTCTGAGATGATGAGTCCGAGGTATTCAATCTGTTGTTGTTCAAATTCGCATTTTTCTGGTCGTAGGTAGAGGTCGTGCTTTTCTAACCGGGTTAATACTTCCCGTACCATTCGTCGGTGTTCCTCGAGATCGTTACTGAAGATAAGGATGTCATCTAGGTAGACTGCCACCTTGCCGGCTGCAATGAGATCAGCAAATATAGCATTCATAAGTGCTTGGAACGTGGCAGGGGAATTTGTGAGACCAAAGAACATGACCTTAGGCTCAAACAAGCCTCGGGTTGTTGCGAACGCGCCTTTCCATTCATGCCCCTTCTTAATCCGTATGTTATTGTAACCCCAGCGGACATCAAACTTCGTGAAGTATTTGGCTCCCTGAAGTCGGCTAATGATGTCAGCAACTAATGGGAGAGGGTATCGGTTCTTCACAGTGTACTCGTTCAGTTTCCGGTAGTCTTGTACGAAACGGAGTTTCCCATCCTTCTTCTTTACAAAGAAGACCGGTGATGAGATTGGTGATTTTGAGGGAACGATATAGCCTTTCCGTAGGTTTTCTTCTAGGAAACGATCCAACTCCTCCTGCTCGTTTAGGGACATGGGATAAATCTTGGTACGCATGGTTGCCGGTGCTCCAGGTACGAGATCAATCGCATGGTCCCAAGGTTGGTGGGCAGGTAATCGTTCGGAGGCGGATTCTGAGAAAACCTTCTTGAAATCACGATACTGCTCAGGGATCATTTCTTCGAAGGTTTTAACGGGTTTGTCTCGGTTGGCTTCCTCTGCTAGCTGCTGGGAGTAAGTGAATCCTGCGGCGCACCAGACTTCCTCCGTCTGTTCCTCTAGAATTCCTGCTTTTACCCATGCCCGGCGAGTTTTATGATTGGCTCGAATTCGGTGTATTGGTGGTTCTTCCACCGCTGTTGATTCACTCGGTTCAAGGGTCGCTTCTAGTGGCACCTCAATGTGGGGGTTTTCTGCGGGAGGTTCCAGTTCCGGGAGTTCGAGGATCGGGGTTTCTGTGTGAGTGGCGGCTAGATGAGAGTACAAGATCTCCTCGTCTGGGACTTCTTCTATCGTTACTCGAGGAGGCTTTACTGAAAGTCGTCCTTTCTCCCAATCAATCTCCGGATTTACCTTCCGTAGCCAGGGGAGTCCAAGGATGATGTCTTCACCTCCTAGGTTGGTGATCAGAAAGTCCATCCATCGCTCTTGATTATCCACTGTGAGTGCTAGACGTGCAAAATGGGTTATCCGTCCAGCTCGGTTAGGTGTTCCATCGATATTAAAAACGTCGATTGGTTTATGGAGGGGTGCACATCTTACATGGTTCCGGGTGACAAAGTCTTGGTTTAAAAACAGGGCGGTAGCTCCACAGTCTACCATGGCTGCAGTTGTTATACTGTGATTCCTTCCTCTTAGTCTCGCATGAATTCGGAAATGTGAGGAAGTAGAGTTTAATTCCCGGATCGACGATATTGTACATGATGGGTGCGAGTCATACGAGGAAGTAGCGAACATAACAAACTGATTACGGGGTACTCTCGGTGCAGCCGAAGCGGGTACCCTCTTTAAAAACCCTGTTGAAAGCCAGAGGACGAGGAGGACATAGCGTTAGCACGATCAAGTAATTCCCTTATTTGACCAATCTGATTGGAAAAGTCCTGGTTAGGGGGGCTCGGAGTAGCAGTTACGGGTGCAGGAGCAGGTGTTGGGGTCGAGGACGCGATTTGGACGGATTCGTTTGGGAATAGGGAGAATGGCGCGGGTCCTGTAGCGGATATCTGTTGGCGTCGAGGTTGCTGGCGTCGGCCTCGGTCTCGTCCGAGTCCCATGAATTTGTCTTGGCAGACTGCTTCCAGATGTCCTCGACGTCCACAGTAGCGGCAGGTGGTTTCTCGGTGTGGGCAGTTTTGCTTGACATGACCTTGGGCACCGCAGCCGAAGCATCGTCCTCGCATGCGAGCTAGGAATGCTTCCCTAGTATTCCCATTACTGGTGTGGGTTGCATCAATGTCCATAGCGTGGGGGTCAGCAGGGGTAGTATGAGCGGTATGCGTGGGGGGGTATCCAGAGTTCCGGCCAGTCATGGTGGGATCGTGCAGGTAGACATCCACCGATATGGCCCGTTTGATTGCCTCCTTCAGAGTCGGAGCAATTCCTTGGGCAATGTTTACGGTGATGAGGTGTTGTCGGATCTCTGGGAGTAATGCAGTGAAGAAACGTTCCCGCAAGTCAATATCAGACATTTCAGTCCGATCTCCGATATCCTTGAACTTCTGAGCGAATTCCGCAACTGTCTGTCCTTTACTTTGCCTGAGATTCTTGATCTCGCTACGGGCTTCCATACCTGGGTCCATTGGTTCAAACCGTTGGCTAAATTCCTTCAGAAACGCCTCCCAATTTCCTCCGAAAGGGGGATTTTCCGCATTGAAATGTAGCAGATGGGGAGTTGCCCAATCTCCGGCACTTTCTGTGAAGAAGCCCAAGGCGGACTTGATGAGTTTTACTTGGCTTTTGGCGAGATCCGGTTGTTCTGACGCCCAATTCTGGAACTGAGCCATGAAGCGACGGGCTTCAGCGCCATCTTTACCCTTGAAAACCTCGGGTTTGTTCATGCTTGACTTAGAGGATGAGCGTTCCTCCATAGCTGTAGCAAGGTTAGCTACTTGTCTGATGAGCTGAGCCATGAGATCCTCCGCAGAGGTGTTTGGGGCAGGCGGGATAGGAGTCGACATGATGGGAGTAGGCAATCGGGGCTGGGGAATCGGCAGGAAGGTTATATTGCTCACAGTGAGTGGCTCTCGGATTGAGTTCGAAAGGGCGTTGGGGCAAGGTTGAGACTGGCAATCGCGCCAAGTATCGTCGTTGTTATGGGCGTGAGCTTGGTCTCTGGGGTCAAGTGCGTGCGGGAGTGCGGAGCAGTCTATACTGGCAACAGGTGTTTCAGAGTCGGGCAGAACTGGGGAAGACGTGGTGTCTATAGACCCTGCAAGGACAACCTTATCGGTAGGCTGTCAGTGCAGTAATGGATCTTGACCTAATGTCACGAAGCGGCAGAGGCGGAGTGACTAACGGAGCGGGAAAGCGGAGCGACTAAGCAGAACGGTGAGGCGGAGCAACTGGACAAGGCAACAAGGCGGAGCGACTAAGCAGAACGGCGGCAGGCTGGTCCCAGATAATGACAGAGATATATTGAGTATCGTAGTCATAGGTAATAATAAGTAAGCACATACCTGGTCCCAGATAATGACAGAGAGGTCAAGATAAGGGACCAGGCTGTGGAGGGTTGGCTATATATACATAATCCGGTCTGCGAGAAACAACAATGTAATACTGTACAGTTTAGGAACAAGGAAGGTGGCGGAAGCCAATAGAAGGAGAAGATGGGTCAGGTGGATCAGTAATCGATGGATCAGTAATCGATGGGGGTTTGACAGTGATGGGATGATGTATCGTACAAGTAAAGGCGTCGAGACGGTGAGAAAAGGAAAATGATAGGGGCTGCGTACTTTATGACACGGACTGGATTACAGGTCCCATAGAACGGGAGGAAGAGCTGCGTTAGACTTCAACGAGCTTCCCGCACTAGACCATTTTTCAGGATCAATTGTGCACAACTGGTTGTTGCTGGAAAGCAACAACGAACAGATCCAGACGATGACCTTGATAGATGACGAGGTGGCTGAATTTGAATGGACACTGTTCATCAATGTTTTGTCCAAAGTCCGAACTATAACTGCATTGGAGCTTCGAACGCAAGGAGGGCATCGGTATACACAGGCGTTGGAACTTTTGAACGCAGCACCGCAGCTTCAAACGCTCAAGTTTGTCCTGAGAGGAATTTGGTATCAGGAAATCCACGTACGTCAAAAGAACGACTTACGATGTGTACTGATAATATCCGCGATAGGCTAATGATGAAGTGGCTGATATTTTTCTTGAACTATTGACACGACTAGAGAACATTCGAGAGTTACTGATGATGGTGACAGGTCATCCTGACACTATTTCCGATGCAGTGGATTACATGTTGACCAAAGTAGGAGTACCAAGAAGAACACAGATGAGGGTGACTGTTTACGACTCGACTGAGAGGAAGGCAATAGCGAAGTGGGATGGAGTGATTTTAAGAGATAATGTGCGTTTGAAAGGCTTTGTGCAATGCAGGGAATATTTAACGTTAAGGAGATTGGTCAGGTAGCCTCTGTACTAAAGAATATTGATACTGACCGAACTAACATTGTGTGACCAACAATGTTCGTTTTGGTGAGAGAAAGTGTGCAAATAAGATAATGTAACGTGACGCGAAATGATAATCTGAATAAGTTATTTGAGTGTCCTTGTATATATCCCTAGATAATATCATTTGTAGGTGTCAGTATCAATATAGAAAGGTTTTGCCTGGGGGCGAAGCCCCGCGCGGGTGGGCAACACACCGCTAAGCGAGGATCTAAAGCCCGGTAATGAGCTTGCCTCGTTTTTGTGTGAAAGAGAAAGGAAGGAATCTAATGGGCACTCCAACCAACCAATCTAATACACAATATGCGAGTTCACTGCTATCAAATTTATTTAATAGCAAGGGGTAGCGTTGGCAAAGGTTCCGCAAAGCTTTGAGAGCTAAGTACGAAGCTTTGATCAATCAATTTGAATCGTTCTAAGGATTCGATATATTCCTTTGATCAAGGTAGATTTAGCACGATTTGGGCTTTGGTTTGTATCGATTTGGGTATATCAAGAATTGGGGGTTTGAATCAAAGTAAATTAAAACCGAAACACACAGACCCCTACAGAGGGCTAGAACTATGTGCTGGCACAACCACACAGCGTGATTTGCCCTTAAGACCAACGACTGATCCTAAGTTCGAAGAATACCCAACAACTGGATATACTTCTCGCAGTCACAAGGAGCAGAACACAATGTTCCTATACTCACAAGTGCCGGGCCCGAATGGCTGCTAGCGAAGAGGTTTCAGTCTGGCGGGAGTGTGTCTTTCCTTTTTACGGATTAGCACTGCAACGTCGTCCCAAAATCACTTGTATTCCAGATACATCGGATCGCTATTTATACATACAGAATATAGAATCGCACAGTACAATTAATTTAATACAATAAACGTTTGGAACCGCAAGGAAACTTCTACACTCGGTCTGATACCATTTAATTTGAATCTACATGTCCTTATTTGGTCCATAATGGTTCCAAGATTCAAGTATACCTCCAAACATAGGTAGGTACTTCGTTATTCATTTAATTTAATTGTTTTGGAGAATGACTCAAATGGTGTTCAACTGTCATTGCTGTTCAACACTTACTTCGATCATTTGTCACCTCGTCCGGAGGCAAATCAGCTCTCCTCGATTCTAATCCTATCAATCTGATTCGTCTGGATTAAACTAATTGCTTCTCTCTTTCAACAGACACCCATTGTGCCTATACTCTATCAAGGGAGTTACGCATAGTATTCATTTAATGGCATTCTTCAATATTTTCTACGTCAGGACTCTTTGACATTCATTTGATATGTCTCGGAGCCTCGCAGTACTTCGATCATTCTTCTAGTCATTTTCCTCAACCATGCGACTTGATTGGTCTATTAGACTAAATCACAGTCTTTTAGATTAATGCATGATCTCGTTCTAGAAGGAGTATTTGACAATTCCTGAGTTCTAGAAAGTCATTTTGAGTCAATCCTCGGCTCATGGTCACTTGAGTAAGTTCTTCCAAACTCCTGCCAGTGTAAGGTCCAATAAGAATACCCTTGGTATGTCATACGTGAATGGTCATCCTTCGGATGTAGTCCGAGTCTGGTATAATCCTGCTTGACAAACAGGTAGACTGTTATCCGAAGGTAATATCGGGGATGGGTAAACTAACCAACTTGTGGTAGTATGGGTATATGGTCCCTTCAACTTATTAGACTGATTCAGTATTGACTTTGACTGTCAATCTGGGTCTCAATTACAGTCCTCTCGATACAAATCTATACGTGAAAATGTCACAATTCACAGTATAGACGTCTAGCCAAAATTTAGGCATGTCACCGGAGCATCTGAGCTGTAATAAACTTACCAGCTAGACACTAAGAGCAATATAAAGGGTGGGTGGGTGGGTTGACAAAAGATCAGGCTGTAAGAGGTCGGACGGTGAGCGTCGAGGATGAGAACGAACAGGCGCCTAATCGTACTCAATTGCCACTCATTATCTTATCTTAGAATAAGTTATTTGAGTGTCCTCGTATATATCCCTAGATAATATCATTTGTAGGTGTCAGTATCAATATAGAAAGGTTTTGCCTGGGGGCAAAGCCCCGCGCTCCCACCCATATATGAGGAGAGGGCTAGATACCCAAACAGAGCCAAGGCTCCTTCCCAGCACGCTCTGAATAAGGTGAAGCTGTACCCCATTTAGAGCTGAGGCTTTATAATATAGATATAAGTTGACTGTTGAGTATACATGGCATTATGCATCACAAATAAAGACCGGCGAGACTATAACAAACCCATAAGAATGGCATGACACCCAAAAGCATAAAATTGGCATAACACCCGAAATCATAAGGAGGCATAATACCCAAATAATAAAGAGGCATAACACCCAAAATAATAACAGGCATAACACCCAAAATAATAATAGGCATAACACCCTAGAGCATAAAACTCGATGTCCAAAAATAATATAAGGCGGTCTTGCAAATCATTGCGGCAATATTATTCGGCAATATCTTGATTCACTACCTGGGTATTAGTGACACTGGTGTGGTCAGGTGTGATGGTGTTTTCCGACAGTGGTGGCATATCCCCGATCGGAGAACCCTGGTATGGAGGAGATGTGTCTGAGGTTGTGTGGGATTGGAATGGGTAGGAATACCACAATGACCCGCCACGAGCTTTTGCCATAGTATCCTCAAACTCAACTTGACTCTCTACCTTGGTCCATTCCGAGTCATACACACTCTGGATAAAACCTGTGAATTCGAGGTATTGTTCGTTTCTGATTCGGAGTTCCGCTGGCTTCCAGAAGGCGTAGAGTTTGGCTGTATGACATTTGTTAAGGAAGAATGAGAAGTGCTGGATAATGAATTGTGCTCGTGTACCAGCTGGACCTGCTGGGTCGCGACTCATCTCGAATCTCATGTAGTTGTTGACGCACTTGATGAAAAGAATGTAGTCGAGGCCTTCCAGTTGATCATCGTTTGCATATTTGATCCTGAGCATTTTCTTCAGAGCTTCGATGTCGATGAAATAACCACTCTTCCTGGGATCATTTGACTTGAATTTTTTATGCGGAAGTGAGTGGGCGCGGGCGGAAATGAACTGTAGAGCGTCGTTACTGAAGAAAGGGAGAGGGATTGGGGAGACGTGTGCGATTTCGTATAATGCATCGTGGAAACTTGCTTGGAAAGGAATGAGCGGATTCTTCACCACGGGGACCAAAGGTTCAGCCAATCTTCTCTTCTTCTTCTTCTCCTCCTCAGCTTCTCTGCTAGTATTCCTCTCTCTCCCTCTTATCTTTGACCTCCTGAATCTTCCGACTCTTCATCCATTCCAGGATGAAATCCGGAATCAGGTGCTTCAAGGAGTCAAAGCGAATTGGGTTTGTACAAATCTTCTCCCATTCCTCCAGCTGGATGGTGAGTTCTGAAGTGACTGGCGATGGTGACCTGATGTTCTCCGGATCCCTGAGATGCGCTGCTCGCTGTAAGTCGCGACGGATGTTATTTGCGTTGTTCTCTTTGTTGAATGTTAGACGTGTCGTTATGTCCCAAGAAGCGAACATGTTCCGAGCTTCGACACTACTGTGCGTTATATGCACTCTGTCAGGGTTCTGTAAGGTCAGAGGGAGCTGCATGGTTGTATCCGAAAATCATGACAAAAGATGAGGCTGTAAGAGGTCGGATGGTGAGCGTCGAGGGTGAGAACAAGCAGGCACCTAATCGTACTCAATCGCCACTCATTATCTTATCCTATGATAAGCCAACCTGCGGTTGACTTATCTCGGAACAAGCGTGGTAAAATCTTCACGCGCGCTAATCGGGCGGACTGGAGAAGGACCTAAGCAAGCAAGGTCATACTGTATACTAGTGTACCCCTGCGGGGCCCTACACCTTGCTTGTTCAAGCGCTCCAGTTAATAATAATAAGTTTGTTTACATATTGGTGGAATAAAACTATATTGCAAGAATGAAACACAATCCGGCATATTTACATGTAGAATATATTTGTTATCAACTTGTAGCACTGTTGAAGCGCGCTATCGTACAACGCGATTGGGTATGTTGAACACCCTAATTGGATAAAAGGTAAAATATGGTAGAAAAGGAAAGAGTAGTTCAGCTGTTGAAGCTTCCGATAGTACAGCACCGTTGGGAATGTTGAAGGACCTAAACGGATGAAGGGTGAAGTAAGGTAGCGTGATATGTAAATTTTGGATGAAGTGCAAAAGAAGGTAGTAAACGGAAAACACTATCAGCTGTTGAAGCTCATGAATGTACAACACGGTTGGATCAGTTGAACAACCTAAACGGATGAAAGCTAAAGTAACGTAGCGTGAAATCTAAGTAAGCAATCCTGAAATATCCTCCGGAACGGCTCATTTGGCACTTGCTCCTTGGACGTTATCCAGTCTCGGTGTTTTAGCCGATGTCGTGCGGAAAGCGATGTCGTCAGGAATTGTGTGCTTTTTACCCTTTCCGGTCAAATTGACGGACTCTGAGGAAGAGGAGGTGTTTCCGTTGCGATCACCTTAGTTTAGCAGATCAGAGTTATTGTGTTACGATGTGACAGGCAAAAACAAACCACTGTTGCTCGTATCTGATGTTGGTTTATCCTTTGGAGTGTCGTCCAAGTTAGAGCCCTGAGTCAATATGGGCAAGTGGTTTGAGGGATCTGGTTCTTCCCAATCAAAGTTTGGTGTGATGGTCTTGTCTGACAGCAGCGCTAACCCGTAATGTAAGTGAACCTCCCATTGGATACTGAGTTGACAAGTATTTACCGGGTGATATAGGAGTAGGCAATGACATGGCCGTCATGTAATCAGCCTCTTGTAGCAACACCTGTTGGTTGAACGGATTATCGTTTGTAGCGTGCGGCCCTAGAAACGAGCTTTCGAGGGGATTGAACGTCGTGTAAGTTGGATTACGCAACATTAAGTCACTTGGCTGTCCAATGTTTGAGCGAGAGCCGTTACCGTCAAGTGAAATCTAATACATACCGCAACAGTGTTGGGGTAGGGGACGTGTGTTGGTGCTGTTGGCGATACAAAAGGTACTTGTCCGTGGTACGGTGAACGATGAGTTGGTGCATCGGTAGGACCGAGCACGCTTAGCATATCAGACGTGCCGTTAGCGTTGGCTAACAGAAGGGAGGTAGAAGATCACTACTTCGGTACAGCAGATGTTAAGTGACTCACCATGGTGTGCTTGAATGAAAGTATTTGGTGTCGCAGGCGTTGGATTTCCATGGTGCATGGCATAATCTGTTAAACTGTTAAGTGGTAGTCATACAAGCTGATATAAACACACTGCTGTAAGAGTCCCCATTTTGCACAGATGAGATGGGTATCGATGGCAGAGGGTGTCTGGTAGCCCTTGGGGGTGTGATACCCTGGTAGATGGGTTCAACTTGTTCAGGACGAAGCAGAACAATTTGCTTTATATCGGCCGTGAAGCCCCACACTGTGTCACGACCAAATTTCCAACCTCGCAAACTGAATGCGATATCGACAGTGGCGCCACTAAGAACATGAGGGAGCAAGGGTTCCGGCAGTGTAGTTCCAGTATGATCTATTGCATTGAAGTCGGCGACTGCGAGGGCTTGTGACGCCTCGACCCATCGAGGGTCGCTGCGGTCCTTCCCAGGTATAAGATCGGTTAGACGGCCTATGAACAGGTAAGCATGCAATTTAACGACACTCAATAGGTACTAACCGTCACTTTGTTCGCCGTACGCGCGAGGCTAGAAAAAGACAGTCAGTAATGGGACGTGACAGTGAATAGCCACATACTCGAAAGCAAGGTGTTCCGACCTTCATGTGAGTATCAGCGAGGCCACCCCCCTCATTGAACCAGAGGTAACATGTGGGTTCAGACTTGGATCGAGTGAGCACCTTTTGTAGTAGTTTCACTTTAGTCAGTGCTGGCTCCCAATCTTGGGGAAATGCACCCGCACGAGGTCGACCGACTAGCGCTGTGCATCGCATACTTTTGACCCGTAGTTTGTCCGACCCAGCGGGCGAGTTAAGCAGGGCATTCACGCTGCCACTTAAACTGGTAAAGTTACCTTGGTTGGAGAGACGTCCCACGATATGAAGGACCATTGGCATTGGTCTCTCATGTCCAGGCTGCAGTGGGTGAGACCAGACGTACATCGAGTCATTGTAAAAGAAAGAACCCGGCCCTGGAAGTGCGTTGTCGTGCCACCCTAGATAGGTGTTGTTTGCATGGAGCTGTTGAAAATAGCGGTGAAGTTGTTGGTCGTTCATGCTACAAACTGTTAAGTCAAAAATTAATTATGGTGAGAAGAAGTGCTGACTTGGTTACTATTTGCAAGTTGGGGGTTGTGGTTGACTATTATATATTTGTTTTTCCACTTTCATATTTCTGCGAAAGCGGAAGTGCATGATAGAAACTCTTTCCTTAGCTCTTTCCTTAGCCCGCCGGTGGTTGCTATTGGAAAAAGCAAAGTGGACCTTGGCAGAGGAGGTTTCTAATTGGAAGATACCAGTACGAATCACAGATCAAGAGGTACAACACTTGTACCATTTGCAAAGGAGTAGGCTCGATAATGAATCTTGATACAAATATGGAAAACTAACGGAGACCAGCTGATATGACGAATGGAAGCAGAATGATAGCGCAAAGTAGTCGTGATAGGAAGTAGTGATAGGAAGTGCAGAAGCGGGATGGATACGGGAATGTTCCGTACGTTTGCGAAATTTGATAGTTCACCTTTTGTTCGAATTAGTTCACAGGTCGAGCGTGACACGAGAAGGTCTCACCCACTAGGTATTTGCGCTGCGTAATGAGCACCTACAATGATATCGAGCGTATTTGTCAACGAACTACAAAAGCGCGGTTGAAAGCAGCTTGCTCAAACCATGGAATTACTCTGAATAGCGCAGACTTGAGATCGAAGGCCACCATTGTTACAAGATTGCAAAGCATACGGCCCGAGCTGCTCGGGCCTTTAATGCAGACAATACACGGGTTGGATTCCGGGAAACGATCGCTTGCCAGCGTCACCGAAGACTTGGGAGATGGTGTTAACAAGCGGCGAAGAGTTGATGTCAGAAACAACATCGTATGTGGAAAGCCTTTGTTAGTCTGTTTGTGCTGATTAGAGTGTAAAAGGGCGCTGAGGCTGTCATGAACAGCCCTCTGTTTGCAGTACCTTCCGAGGACGTTTGCAGAACGTTAGTATCAGATTATATACAATGCACAGGTAATGCCGCTACGAAACAGTCGGTTTGCTGTGTTTGCACTAGGGAACTGTTGCGGACAGAGGTGGTGGACTGTCCGGATTATCAGTTACTGAACGGCCACCTGTTGGTTCCCAAAGTTGGACACGATGCACATGTTCTTCATGAAGGCAAACTTCTGTACACGAATCCAGATACAAAAATCATCTCTCCGTTTGTTTGCATGGATTGTCTGCAACAACTACGGAATGAGCAACGACCGCGGTTGTCATTAGCCAATAATATGTGGATCGGGGCGATACCCTTTGAACTTCGCATTTTAACATTGCCAGAAAGGGTTTTGGTCTCCCGTTTTTTTGCGGCTGCTTATATTGTGAAGCTATATCCGAAAAAGCATGGAGCAAAAGCATGGCCTGCAGATATGCTCTCAAGTGGTTTGAAGGGCAACATTTCCACATACTTTTTGAATACTGCCGAAATAGCCGTGATGGTTGATGACGGCTATCTTCCCCCGAGATCGTCAATCCTAGCAGCAATGATTGCAGTCACATTTGTTGGACCACGAAACATTCCGCTTTGAAGTTTGGCACCAATGTTACGGGTACGACGGGCTCGAGTTGCTGACGCATTGAGGTGGTTAATTGCCCACAACAAATTGTACCAAGGTCTACAGATATCAGCGAAAAACCTCGAAGACCTGCCTGTGGATGGAGTGCCAGAAGAAATATGGGGAAACGTCAAGTGGTCCGACCAGGTGGCGTTGCTGGAAAAGGAACATGCTGGGTATGTGCCTGAAGAAGATGAAGAAAACACGGGCAGTACAGGATATGAGGCAGCTGAATACAGTACCAACAATGGTTTGTGTCTTGTTTTAGATACTGGGCAAGAAACTGATGTGTGACGCAGCCGAGGTGGGTACTGAAGACGAAGATGAGGATGCAAATAACACGACACCCGGTAGGTGCTCTTGTACTGAGGTTTTTAATCCGTTAACATAGACGCAGCTGTTTTTGCGATGCAAGCCCATGGTGTAATCAATGTTGAGGGTAACCATATTCCGCAAACAGATTTGATTACGCATGCACTCCGAAACATGGCCGACACAACACGGTGCCGCAATACATCCGAAGAAGGCCTAAACAATGATGATGCGCATTTCTTGGTTTGCAGAGGGGGATTCGTGAACAAGTATCCCCGAGTGGATGATAGTGGCGAACGAACGAGTGGTACTCCTGATAACCCGAATCATCTCCTCGGTTGTTTTCCTTGGCTCTTTCCATATGGTTGTGGGGGATTTGAAACCTCACGGCGTTGAAAAGTAACTTACAAGGCTCATTGCCAGTGGGCGTTAGAATATGCTGATGGCAGATTTAGAAGGGATTTCCAGTTCATTTTCCAAGTGTTCAGTGTTTTGCAGAAGAGGCAAATTTGTGGTTCGGCTGCACTGCGTATGACTCGCGCGGAGTATGTTAGGAACCGCCGTGGTATAGAAAACCTCAAAGCGCAGGACTTCGTCTTGGCCACTGAGCAAGAGCGACGAAAGCAGCCATATAGCAACCCAACAATGAGAGCATTGTGCTCCTATGTATCCGCTGTATGATCACACGTAATGGGTTCTAACCAAAGCAGGGTCAGTGTTCGGTCACAGATCTGGTCCCTCTGTACGATGATGAATCCCCCTTCACTGTGGTTGACCTTGAACCCAACGGATGTGCACAACCCTATTGCACAGGTATTTGCGGGCGAGGCAATCAACCTCGACAACTTCGATGTGGAAGCAGGGCCTGTTAGCAGCACACGATCAAGGAACATGGCCGCGGACCCCTATGCCGCTGCGAAATTCTTTCATTTCGTCGTAAAGGCGATACTGGAGACACTGTTTGGCATTAAAGTTACTAATCGCCAATTTAGTTGTCACAATGGAATCTTCGGGAAAGTAAAGGCGTACGTCGGGATGGTGGAAGCGCAGGGTCGCGGAATGTTACATATACATATGATTCTGTTCTTGGACGGAGCGCCTGCACCGAGTGTAATGAAGACTTGTCTGCAATCCGAAGCATTCCGTCGGAAAGTGGCTCATTTTATCGCAACAAACATTACAGCAGATGTGGGATTGGATCAGGAATCTTTGTTAAGTCTACGTGCAAAACCTGCAATTTCGTTCAATCGACCGCAGTCACCTTTTGATCCTCAGTACAGTCTGAAGCGATTGGAACAGCAGAAATTACTTACACGCGCACTTCAGGTGCACCAGTGTGCGATGGGAAGATGTCTGATCATGAAGGGTGGTCGACAAGTTTGCAAGAACTGAGCACCTTGGCCACTGTCCAATGAAAATTGGATTAAACCGAATGGAGACTGGGGAATGGTACGACGGGTAGGTTATGTGAACACTTTTAATTCGACCATTCAGGAGACACACCTTTGTAATAACGATATAAAGTTGATCACTAATGGCGACACAACGAAAGACATGGCGTTTTATTTCTCCAATTATGCATTCAAGAAACAGCATAAGTCATCGAACGAAACCGCAATACTAGCAAAGCGGTACACTTTTCACAAGAAACAGGAGGCTGTCAAGTCCATGCCACGGGCCTCCATTCTGCCGCTCGGTAGTCCGAAGATCTGCTCTTATTGTAATCTCTTCCTATTGTTCTTTCTCGCTACACATATCCTTTCGTCCTAGTCTCTCATTATTGTCTTTTACTCTTTCGTTCTAGTCTCTCCTTATTGTCTTTTACTCTACCCTGCAGGTACTACTCGTATAGCTCCTAGTAGTTAGTCTGGCGCTCCGCACCGATGCGCCGTTCCGTAGATATAAATACTGCCTGTACGCTACTGTAGTTCCTCAGTTTAATTATCAACTTAGATCAACTTAGATCAACTTAGATCTCCCTTCCCAACTTAACTCTTCTCTAAGTCTTCAGGCTCAACGCCTTGAAGTACTCTCTACTATAACCTTAGGACTTAAACGTTCTCTGGTTCGCTCCTCGTCACCGGCATTACCGCCGCTCCGACTTGGCTGCTTCTCAGTTCCTCCCTTCTCTACTCTCGATCTCCGGGGACTAACGGCGTAACAGCGGTGTTGTTAATAACTTCACTACTGTCCCACTCGTCTTCCGCACTTAGACACCTTGTAGCTTTGGCACGGTTACACGGCGTACATGATCTTAACAGAGGCCAAGAATTCGGATTACGAGCAAGTTGGTCGTCGTTTGATCACACGGTGTGCTGCGTCCCTAAGTCGCGAGCAAGAGCTTAGTGCACCTGAGGTGATAAGTTACTTAATGGGGTGGGGGGGACAGATATATATCGCACTTCTTTGTGCCCGTGTATCTTGACGGTTTATTGGCAGCATTGCGGCAAACTTTTGTTGCCCTGCAGTCCAAAAAGTGCGTGGTTCTAAGTACAATTTGAGTTAGCATTGAACATCTGTTCGGTTATAGATGGATTAGAATAACCAACATGGATGGTACACCAGGTGCTGTCGAGGCAAGGTGGGACTCTGTGTCGGAAGTAAGTGAATCAGCAGCTGAAGCTCTAACAATGCTGATCATTTTTGCAGGCAGAAAGTGTGCGTCTTACAAGTGAAAGCGGAAAGATCTCTATACAGAACCAATTGTCAGTGTATGGCTACAGGGGTGAAATGTTGGGCGGATATAACCTACTATCATTCTTCTGCGACACCTACGAGCAACATCATGGTCACGCAACAGCTGCAGAGGCAAGCTCAGAAGCAGGAAGTTCGAGGGCAAGCCCCTGTCATTGATATCTTGACAACTATCGTCCGAAACATGCATGCATCGTCCGCCAACGTGGACATGAAACCATGCCCCAGTTCGTGGGACGCTGGTTTCCGCGGAATGATAGGGAAGAGGATCAGTTGCTGTATAGGTTGATGCTGTTGGCAGTGCTAAAGCCATGGCGAAAGTTGCCAGATATAGTTGAAGGTTTTCAGACTGTCGACGAAGCTTGGAAGTGCTTCCTCCAAGAATCTCATGGCGCCCATGATGCCTTTCTTGAGAACGTTCAGTACTTTTATCATTGTTCAGACCAATCTTCTTTGCGTTGTGAGAAGGAATACAGCACGTACCAAGGCCCACTGGAGGAGCACGAGAACGAAGCAAACAACAACCCTGCTGATGTTCTTGACGAAGCGCTGCCTGCAGTAGTTGCAGATCTTGATTGGTCCGAAGCGGAAATTATCGCAGCACAAGAAGCTGAAAAGGGACAGAATCAAAGATTCGGGGACACAGCCATGGAGCACGCATATGATGCAGGTGTTTTCAACAGGGAATATGAGCAGGATCCAACCGCTATCCTCGCAAGAAGGTGCTCGGCACTAGACAAAGTTCAGTATGCAGAATGGGCAGACCAACTGAAAGATTATGCTGCCAACGGAACCATTGTTGAAAGCAGCGATGGCTTGGATCTAGGTTCTGGGATACAACAACTGAGCGATTCAGTGCCTGGTGTTCAAAGAATCGCACGCATGCACAACAATGACGGTTCAGATGTATGTCTTCATGATGTCTTGAATGAAGAGCAGGGGTTGTTTTATGATGTAGTTGCAGATCACTTGAAAGCTGCATTTGGTGGGCTGCTTCTGCCACAACTTCTAATGATCTTACGTGGACCTGGTGGAACTGGTAAAACGGTTGCCATCAATGCAGTAACGGAGTTGTTCCAGCGGATGGGCATAGAGCATCAACTCGCAAAAACAGCGACATCGGGGGTAGCAGCTACGTTGATCTCAGGTCGGACTGTTCACACGTGGGCCGGTGTGCCTGTAGGTGGTGTCATATGCATGCAATTCACCCATACGCTTCCCGGCCCGGCCCAGAGCGGCCGGACTTCGGAATAATTACCTTGTGACTTATTTATTATTCCGAGCTTTCATCGAGGTCTTATGACTACTGTATTTGGGATGTATATAAGCTAGAATACTTTGTACGTTGTAGTCAAGCTTGAAATCAAGTGTACCATCTTATCCCAGTCTTTAATATCTCCTTTACCCTTTGCTTCCGGACTCCCGGATTATCAGGAACCCCATTTAGGCTGCTCATCCCAATCTTGCACTCTTGCCATAATTCCCGGGGACACCAACAGTGTGTGAAGGGTGTTGCTAATAGCTTCACCGACGTCCCACTCCCAGTGTGTACTACAGGCCAATACTCAGTTCCAGACCTCGGAATTATCCCGGGCCATTCCCGGGCCAGATCCGGCCTCAGAACCTCTATAGTTATTGACCTGTAGGCACATTCTTGTCAGGTGGCCCAAGAGGAGTGAACTGGCTAGAGGGGTCTATTCGAACTGCACAAAAAAGGGAACTCAACATTGGCCCCGTTGAGTATCTGATCATTGACGAAGTATCGATGGCAACAAAGGATCTACTGGCAAATATTAGTGACATTGTCGCATATGTTCGCAAGAAGCTCGAAAAACCAGGCGATGGCCTGTATTTCGGAGGTATGAATGTAATCCTTTGAGGAGATTTCCACCAATTTCCACCAGTAGCCAACCCAGATGCCGCCCTCTATCACCCGAAGCATAGCGGCAAACATGGGGAAAAGGGTAGAGAGATCTACTCACGATTTGACAAGGCGATAACATTACACCAGCAGATGCGAATTCGGGATCGACGGTGGATGAAGCTCTTAGATCGTCTCAGGACAGGAAGCTGCACCCCGGAAGACATAGAAATTCTGCACGGATTGCGATTGGATATACCTGACAACCCACGGACAAATTTCGATAGCCAAGAGTGGTCCAATGCGGTGTTAATCACATCCAGAAACTCTGCACGTAATAGGTGGAATGCCGCTGCTTTGAGAAGGCATTGCGCAGGGAACAAGACATGTTTGTATTCCTGTGCAGCTGAAGATAATCGTCGTGGATCACAATTATCTTCAGACAATCGAATGAGAGTCGCTCAAAGAAATACGAAGCAGACCGCAAACCTTTCACACCGGGTGGAAATTGCGGTTGGAATGAAAGCCATGGTGTTGATTAACATTGCAACTGAAGCCGATTTGGCAAACGGTACTCGCGGTGTCATAGAGGGAATTGTTTTAGATGAACAGGAAGTCACGCAACTGCGAATAGTGAATGGCGTGACAATGCTGGAATATCCACCCGCGGTGGTCTTCTTTCGACCATACAGAAAATCTCGAGTTACTGTCAAGGGTGTCGAGGATGGCATCCTGCCAATTACGCCAAGCGAAGCTTTGTTCACGATCACCATCAAAGATGGTACAAAGCGAACAATAACTAGACGGCAACTGGCTTTGACACCCGGTTATGCTTTCACAGATTACAAAGGTCAAGGTTAAATGCTAGAATATGTGATTGTAGACCTAGGAAAAGCGCAGGGAGGTCCGGACCAGAGTCCCTTCAGTGCGTATGTGGCGTTGTCACGGAGTCGTGGTTGCGAAACAATCCGTTTGTTACGAGGTTTCAAAGAGAAGAACTTTGTAACACATCCATCAAATGCTCTCAAAGCTGAGGACATCAGGTTGGACTTGTTGACAGAGCATACATTGACATGGTGGAAATCCGGCCGTCGTTACAACTGTTAGTACCAGCTATTTGTTAAGATCATGTACACCGTGTAACCGTGCCAAAGCCACAAGGTGTCTAAGTGCGGAAGACGAGTGGGACAGTAGTGAAGTTATTAACAACACCGCCGTTACGCCGTTAGTCCCCGGAGATCGAGAGTGTAGAGGGAGGAGCTAAGTAGCAGCCAAGTCGGAGCGGCGGTAGCGCCGGTGACGAGGACTGAACCAGAGGACGTCTAAGTCCTAAGGTTATAGTAGAGAGTACTTCAAGGCGATAAGCCTGAAGACTTAGAGAAGAGCTAAGTTGAGAAGGGAGATCTAAGTTGATCTAAATCGATAATTAAACTGAGGAACTACAGTAGCATACAGGCAGTATTTATATCTACGGATTGGCGCATCGGTGCGGAGCGCCAGACTAACTACTAGGAGCTATACAAGTAGTACCTGCAGGGTAAAGTAAAAGACAATAAGAAGGGACTAGAACGAAAGGGTATGTGTAGCGAGAAAGAACAATAAGAGTAAGATTACAATAAGAGTGGATCTTCGGAGTACCGAGCGGCGGAATGGAGGCCCGAGGCATGGACTTGACAGTATCCCCCTCTTAGGCTTGAGCCCTCGAAAGCCGTTAGTATCGGGCAATACTATTAGTCACCAGAGAAAAAATTTTATATCCCGTTAGCACCAGCAATTATCCTTTTTGTCATCAGGAAAATTTCGTTGGTTCACCGTAAGCCGAGTACAATTCAAAGGA